ATACATATCTTTGTGAATTTCAACATACCACTGCAGTGGTTCTGACCTCTCACTGGCTAGATGCAGGTAAATATGCAGTTTTACTAAGGAAACCAGTACTTCCACTTTCATTATTGTTCCAAACTAATACAGTTTTGAGTAATGTGCCATCATGTTTATTAGATATTTTGACTCAGTCTGTCTCACCACACACTTCCATGAAGTAAGGTACAAATGCAGTATATGGAAAAGCCAATCCTACCTCTACAGATGCGAAGTATGGTTTCAAAGCAGCTTCCAAATCTGGTAGTAATTCTAGTGGTAATGTTAATGCAGTCTGGGTTGAAACTGCAAATATTAAACACAGAAGTTCTGTTATGCTAAACTGAAAAAGATGCAGACACTTAAAATTATCTGTTACTTCAAGAAAAAATAGTAGCAGAATCTAAGGTTGCACATGCAAAATGAAAATCATCAGCATTCGCAGTATACTGCCCTGTTAGTCTTGTAATAAATATCATTTAATGGATCTTCTCAAAGCCAAATAAAATTGAAGCATGCAAGTAAAGTTTAACTTTAAATTTTAATGTGGTTTCTTCCTGCGTGACAATGTGCAATCTGACTTAACCAATAATGGTTTATTTAATATCTGTTGAACTTCTAAGTTAACTAGCATCAAATGGCAAGGTGACTGCAAACGATGAACTGGGAAGAATATAGAAGGAAGGGGTCAAGATTTACATTAAGATACTATGTCAGAATTTGCCTGGAGGGAATAAGGAAAATGATAAAAACCTGACAGAACAGCCAGTTTCTGAATCAAACTCAGTATATCCAAAACAAAATGAAATTCTTAGTTTTAATCAATAAATTAATTGAGTTTGTTCAGGAACCCAGTATTTACATAGGTAAGGTAAAGATGGCCGGTCACTGTAGCCGCGTGGTCTAAGGCATGTACTGTCTTCGCTCGCTTGGAAACCGGGATCGTGGATTCGAATCCCACTCAGGGCATGGATGTTTAGTTTGTGTGTGCGTTTTTCTGTGTTTGTGTACAGGCAGAGGCCTTGCAACGAGCTGATCACCCACCCAAGGAGTCCTACCGAAGGTGTAAGATCTAGAAAAACCGAAGTGAACGGAGAAGTTCATGGAGGTAGGCCTAGGCCCACTGGGGCTGTAGTGCCAAGGGGGGAAAAAAAGGTAAAGATGTCCCTGTGCTTAACTAATTAAACACTACACCATGAAGGTATATGGAGGAATGGATGTATAGATAAACATTTTTTGACCTCAGCACTAGCTGAGGTGAGTAGTCAGCTTCATGTCCCAGCTGCTTTACAGCCCAGTACCCACTGGATAGGAGGTTGGGTGGACCCCAGAGCTAGTCTTGACCCAGGCAGCGCCATAGCTCAAGCGGTTAGTCGCTGGCTTCCCACCGCGGTGGCCCGGGTTTGATCCCAAGTCTGGTCAAGTGGGATTTGTGGTGGACAGTGGCATGGGGGGCGGGTTTTTTCCGAATACTTCGGTTTCCCCTGCCAATCTTCATTCCACCACATTCTCCATCATCATAATCACCCAGGGCAGGCTACAATAGGCCAATTAGTGACCGCCGTGCCAAGTGGACCCAGTTGGACTCCACCTCCCCACTAAGCGAATTTTTAGTCTTCCCCCTACCGAGACTCGAACTCTGACCCCTTGGTCGTCCAGCCTGTAGCTAGTCGCTGTACTGACTGCACTATCTCGAAATTTTTCACTTGTGAACCAAGATATATTTACTTGCCATAGTGAAAATACATGGCTATATTTGTTCAGCCCATCCAAAAACACACAAAAGACAACAATATTCTTGAATATGACTACATCAACCTTCTTTATTTGCAGACATGCAGCTGAGATCTCCAAATAGTGCTTCTTGTCCATCATTGGTGTTATCTAAGGATGTCTCTTTGTGAGAGCTGTAACTGTCATTTGTTTCCACAAACAATGTAGATGTGTTGTTCGGTACCTGTGGGCCCCAAGGACTAGAGACAATGTGAGCATTGCAGAAATAACTGAAAAGAAAATAATATCTGAGAACTACAATAGTACTTGATGGACACTGCAGTCAATATTGCTTTCCAGATTCAAAATTATAAACATATGTACAATATATGTTTGTTACTTATTTTAAAGAAGGAAAAAGGAAGCATTCAGACACTATATGAGCAAATAAGTAAGACCTGTATCATACTGACCACATCTTACATTTGTGGCACATCCAGAACCATCAGTCTACAGATGGCATTTTTTGCAACAAACTATACCAGTTATACATATGGCCAGTGATTATATTGAAAAAGTGTAAACACTTAAGCTGTGAAATGACAGTGTCATTTCCTTAACTGTCACATTCCTATTATATGTGTATTTTCTAATGACCAGAGAACAATCACTAGTTTCTAAATTTATGTATGTCCCTATGTTTTCATTGTACAACAGCCTAGTATTATTCTGAGATGTGAGGCACAGCTACATTTGTTTCAAATTATGCTAAAATGAATACTCATGAATATGAGTGTACAGTACAACATGTAAGGATGTATACATAAATTTATAAACTATAAATTGTTTGGTTTTGTGGCCNATGAGTGTACAGTACAACATGTAAGGATGTATACATAAATTGTTTGGTTTTGTGGCCTATTTAACAAAGTTGGCAGTGGCTACACTACATAACATTATATGATACTCTCACAGATGAACTGGAAAGGATTTGGAAGGAAGCAGGAGTGGACTAATTGAGATATTATCCTGGCATTTGTCTGAAGACTGAAGAAAACCATGAAAACCCTGTCAGCATAGCTCACTTCCCAGCCATGATTCAAACCAAGCACATTCCAGAGCCACGCCATAGCTCAAGCGGTTAGTCGCTGGCTTCCAACCACGGCAGCCTGGGTTCGATCCTGAGTCTGGTCAAGTGGGATTTGTGGTGGACAAAGTGGCGCTGGGGTGGGTTTTCTCCGAGTACTTCAGTTTCCCCTGCCACTCTTCATTCCACCAAATTCTCCATCATCATAATCACCCGGGGCAGGCTACAATAGGCCAATCAGTGGCCACAGTGCCGAGTGAACCCAGTTGGACTCCACCCCCTACTAAGCGAATTTAAATAAAAAAAAGCACATTCCAACTACAGTTTAGAACATTACTGCCACACCAATCTGTTCACCTACAATAGAGTTACAACATATACACAGTGTGTATGAAAACTAATGTGATCTCATTCAAGAACTATTCACAAGGAATATGGTCCATAAATGCCCAGTTTCATTTAGAAGTGAAGGAATGATTGCTGCAAAGAATCTGATCTGTCAGGCCAGAATTTCAAATAAACAAAAACTTAATTTTGTTGCATGACAATGACCTACATATACTGCATCAACTGCCTGGAGATTTACTTTGCAAAATGAGGTTACTGAGATCCCCCCCCCCCCTCCATTCATCACATGTGGCTCTGGCTGATAACTTTCTTCTTTTTCTGAAATAAAAAATGAAGATGAAAGAAAAATGATTTCATATGATCCAAAAAAGGAATGTGACCAAGCATATCAAAGAGACAAGTTTGGAGGAATTTCAGGATGCTTTCAATGACTGAAAGAGGTGTAACAAGTGTAGAGACTTTAATGGGAAATACTTTGAATAACTTTCATGATAAATTATTTCTCTGAACACTAGCTTTCTCATTTAAGAACTTCTGTCTCATTACTTTTCAGACACAATGTGTATGTGCATATATATATATATATA